CAGTTAAGTTTATTCCTAAGTATCTTAATTTTTTTAGTGCAATGGTAAATGGGATTGTTTTTTTTTTCACTTCTCTTTCTGTGAGTTCATTATTAGTGTATAAAAAGGCCATAGATTTCTGGGTGTTAACTTTATATCCTGCTACTTTGCCAAATTCACTTATTAGGTCCAGTAGTTTTTTTTTTATTGATTTTTTTTTTACAGAGAGGAAGGGAGAGAGATAGAGAGTTAGAAACATCGATGAGAGAGAAACATCGATCAGCTGCCTCCTGCACACCTCCCACTGGGGATGTGCCCGCAACCAAGGTACATGCCCTTGACCGGAATCGAACCTGGGACCTCTCAGTCCGCAGGCCAACGCTCTATCCACTGAGCCAAACTGGTTTCGGCAGTAGTTCACTCTTTATTGACAGATGGCACCTAAGGAAAATCAGCAAAAATGCCTTGGCAATTTTAGCATAGTTCCTAGGATATTGGTTGGCACTCAAAGGGTTGAAACATGCAATACCTGACTATTTAGACTGTCCAATTAAAAAAAATGACAACAGTCAACATAATAGTCATATGGTGTGAATGAATCAAAATCATACCTATTTGTTTTGTCAGATCAGAAAAAAATATATATTTTTTGGTGTGCTGCAGAATTTTACTGTATGTGTGCCATGAAATGAAAAAGGTTGAAGCCCGGCTGGCGTGGCTAGTGGTTGAGCACTGACCTATGAACCAGGAGGTCACGGTTTGATTCCCAGACAAGGCATGTGCCCTGGTTGCAGGCTCGATCCCCAGTGTGGGGCGTGGAGGAGGCAGCCAATCGATGATTATCTCTCATCATTGATGTTTCTATCTCTCTCTCCCTCTCCCTTCCTCCCTTTAAAAAAAATTTTTTTAATCAAATTTTTTTTCAAAGAAACCTTAAAAAAATATGTTGGAAATCGCTGATCTAATCCATCCCCATGTCCTGCCAATTCTACCCCCAAAATATGCCTGGAACTTCTCTTCGTCTCCATCTTCATCATCTGGCCCAGGCCTCCATCATCTCTCACCTGAACCAGTGCTACACTGACCCAGCTGACCTCCCAGAATCCACTTTGTCCCCTCTAATCTGCCCTCCCAACAGCAACCACAGTGATGTTTTAAAAATGCAACTCATGTCCCTCACTGGCTAAAATCCTTTAGTAACTTCCCAGTGCACTTAGTATTAATCCACAATTCGTAACATAGTTTACAAGACCCTGTGTGATCCTTTCCTTGCTAACCTCACTTCCTGCAACCCTCCCCCCAGTACCTTACACATCAGCCTTCATCAGCAGTTGGCAATGTCGCTGTTTCTCAAAAAGGCCATGTGAAGCACTTAACACATAGGGCTTCGCTTCTAGTAGGCACTCAATAAATGTCAGCTGTCATTATCCTACTCTGGGCCTTCACAAGTGCTGTTCCTGTTTGAGACGCTTTCCCCTGTACTCTTCTGACTAACTCCTACCCCTCCTTCAAGTCTCTTACTTTTCTGTTGCTGCATAACAACTTACCACAAACTAAGTGGCTTAAAACAACACACATGAATTTTCTCACAGTCTCCAAGGATCAGGAGTCTGGCACTTTTTACCTAGGTCCTCTGCTCAGGATCTCACAAGGCTGAAATTAAGACCAGCTACATCCTCATCTGAAGGCTCAACTAGGGAGAGAGCCACTTCTAAGATCACTTAGGTTGATAGCAGAATTTAGTTCCTTGCGGTTGTAGGACTGGAGCCTCTTGGTCTTGGTAGCTGTCAGCCTGGGGCCATCCCCAGCTGCTAGTGGCCTCTCTCAGGTCCTTGCAGGTGGTTTCCTCCATTATCACTCACAGCGTGGCCGGTTACCTCTTCAAGGCCAGCAGCAGAATTTTTCTCAGGCTTCAAATCTCTTCCTTCATTCAGTAACGGCCCTTTGAACTCACCCGCCCAGAATAATCTTCCTTTTGATTAACTCAGAGCAACTGATTGGAGACCTTAATTACACCTGCACAATCCTTTCACCTCTGTCATAAACCTAATCACAGGAGTGAAATCTCATATTCTCAGTCCCACCCACACCCAAGGCGGGGAGATAATGTAGGAGAGCATGACCACCTGGGCCTGGGAATACTGGACCCATTTAGAATCCTGTCTGCCATGAGGTCTCGTTCTAAAATCACTTTCTCAAAGAGACCTTCTTTCATATTACACCGTAGGTTTCTTTCATGGCACCTATCACAAATTGTAATTGTAAACTTACTTGTATTATTATTTGTGTGATGCACTTTTTGTTTGTTTGATTCTCTCCCCTTAGCCCTGGGAGCTCATGAGGGCAAGGACTTTGTTTTGTTCATCAGTGTTTCCCGTAACCAGCACAGCAATTGGCAGTAGTAACTCACTGAATGAATGAATGATGGAGAGATGTGCAAATCAAGACAGGGATTAACCTCCTCACACATTTAACAGAAACGAGAAGGGATGTAGCACTGACTGACCCCGGTCCTGTGATGAGTGTTCTACCCTTTTTAATCTCACTTAATCCTCATTGTTACTATTAGTAGCCTCATTTTAGCGGGGGTGGGGGGGGGGGCTTTAGAGAGGTTAACTTTCTTGCTCTAAATCATACAGCAGGTAACTGAAAGACCCAGGATTCAAACCCAAGATTGTCCTCATTATAAATATTGAGAATCTTCTTTGGATTCAAAAGATTTGGTTGGAGAATTGGGCCTGCCACAACTTTCTGGCCATGTGAACTGGCCCGGGTCACTTCAGCTCTGAGTCTGTTTGTTTGTGAAATGGGTGGGGTCATACCTACTGAAGAGTGGTTGGCAGAAGTGAGATAATGTGTATAAAGTTGTTTAAACATAGCAGATGGTCAGTAAACGTAGCCAGTGATTCTCACAGGCCAAAGGGCCGCCTCTACTGAAGTGATCGGCCTATTTGGTTGGACCAGGGGGGTCAGGCCGGTACGAGGGAAGGGAGCCCAGAAAGAGAAGCCTATGAATGTGAGGGTGTCCGGTGGACCTGCTTGGTGTGACCCTACAAATAAAAATGTGGAGTTGCAGAGACTTACATGGAGCCAGTCTGGAGGGGAGCATTTGCTGACCAGAGCCCTCCATCAGTTAGCCTCCCTCTCCACTGCCCAGGGAATTCCTGGGCCAGGTGGGGGCAGGTCCTTCAAAAGCTTAGGGAGGTCCTGGCAGAGAAGGCCTGAGCTCTGAGTCCTCCGGAGACCAGGGCCTCCACTACCCTTTGCCTCTACTTCTCAGGATGCTCATCACCACAGGAGAGACTCCCTGGGAAAGGGGTGGAGCCAGCAGGAGAGCTGAAAGGCCAGGCCAACCACAGGACTCAGGGATGCAAATCTCCCCCTCCCATCAGTGTCTTAAGTTCCACCATGGATTCACCACATGGGTCTCCTTAGCACCCTCTCCTATTCCTCTCTTAAAGGGGACTCTACCACCTGCCTTCAGCCCACAGAGTCAGTTGATGTTGGTGAAACACTTATCAGATCTTCCTCTGACCTGGAAGAGCCCAGAGCCCTGCTTGAGGTTAAGTCAGAGAAATGGAGTTGAACTGGGAGAGGGTGCCTGCTGCCCTGCCAGGCGGCGGTCACCCTTGAGCTGGAATGCTTGCAGGATGGCGGAGCTGGAAGAGACCTCAGGGTTCTTTGGCCAAGAGAAAACCAAGAGCCCGGGGAGGGAGAGGATTTGCCCAAAGTCACACAGCTGCTTAAGAAGCAGCTAGAGCCCGTCTCTGTTTCTCTTTACTGACTTTGATGCTCCATTGGTTTTCTTCCCTGAGAAGTAGAAGAGGCCTTGGGGCAGGGAGTGAAGCCATTTCCCTCCGGGCCTCTGTTTCTTCATCTGCTAAATGGGAATAACTATACTTCCCTGCCAACACCCCCACTTGTTTATGAAGCTTTGGTGAGTAACTACAGGGGAAATGGCCTCCGTGGCAAAACCGTCTACCTGGTGACCACAGGACCCCAGATTGGAGGCGACTGTGAGGGATCTGAGGGTGGGCAGGGCAGATGGGCCCAGAAGATGTGTGTTCACCTTGTCATCCTCCCCAGGTGAGTCCCAGGCCTGGGTTGCCATGGATACCGTGTCCCTAGAGCATCAGATCCAGAGCGTGCAACGCCACATCAGCTTCCTGAAAAAAGAGCAGATGGCCCTGCTGCGAGACCTGCACCTGGAAATCCTGAGGCTGCAGAAACGCTGCTCAGGTGAGGCCAGGAGGGATGGCTGT